CATGACATGAGGACTATACATAGGGTAACACATATGTTTATGCTCACACATTTCCCCCCTTATGAACGTCTTGATAATGTTCTGGATTGTTTATGTTTATTTATCAAATTGGCTGTTCTGTTATCTGCACATTTTATTTGGAATGACTGTGTATATAAATGACTATAAATCCATCGACAGACCAAATCTACGTTATCAGATATTTGTCTGTTTTCCCCATTAAATACTTATCATAATATCAGTGGAATGCAGTCTTGTTTTATCTTAACCTTTAATTATAGATCATGCTTTATTTATTTATTGATTATAGAAATACTTTATCAAATCTTAATCTGAATATCAGAAGTAGTACATCCAAATTACATTATATGAGTAAAGAATGTAGTTACTTTACATCAATAATGTCCTCTGCGTAGGGAAAGTGTATTCGTGTGTTTTTGAGTTGCTGTTAAATTGAGGGACACCTATACGGGTTCTCAAGATGATTAACCGATTAAAAAAGCAGAAAGTACATCAAAATGTGTTCATTTTGTCACATTTTGTTATCTAATCTCTGGTTATTTCTTTGAGAATAACACGATGATAATATCTCTGAAAATGATTCAGATACTGCAAGGGGAGAAATCGTCTCTTTAGTAACACTGGTCTAAGCACAGATGTGCAGGCAGTGACGATTAGTCTAATTATTCCTTCTTCATGAGTCACATAGAACAACGGTAATTTAATTGAAGGGCAGAGCTACGGTATCCTGGTGAAGATGAATCAACCTAAAGAGAATACATTTTTCGAAAAATACAGAAGGGCAGAAAGAGGTCTTCTTCTCTCAGCAGCACTTAGATTCTCGAAGGAAAAACAAACATTAAATATCAGTAATGATTAATAAACCTTCATCCTTGATCTTTAACTCAAACTATCAAGGGGTTAAAATAATCGACTGTGGTTCCTGATGAAAGACTAATTACATTTTCTCTCTCATTTTGTCAGATGAGTTATCAAAGTGAATTTGTATCTGCAGTTGAATATTAACCAGCTGGCTAACACTGATACATATATAATTGTTTATTAGTGTGTGTTGTAAATAAATAAAAGTAAATCTTTCTTGGAATAAAATAAGTATGTGATCCTTTTTCAGTAATAGGAGGTGCTCTAAACAATTACATATTTTTAGCAGTTATTTTGACTTCTTTATGCAAACAGTCTTTCCACACAATGCCACAAATGTTGCCTCAATACTCCTCATATTCCTCTCCTCTCTGTTCAGGTACAGAGCTATAGTCAGACCTCTGGACATCCACAGGTCCAGCGCTACTCGCAGTATCTGTCTCCGAGCGGGGGCCATCTGGCTGCTCTCAATGAGCCTGGCCATCCCTGAGGCTGTGTTTTCCGACTTGCACACCTTCACCACCAGCCACACCAACGAGACATTTGTGACCTGTGCACCTTACCCCAGCGCAGGGGAGCTGCACCCCAAAATCCACTCCACTGCCTTCTTCCTCATCTTCTACATCATCCCACTCTTCACCATATCTGTTTACTACTGCTTCATTGCTCACAGTCTGGTCAGGAGCTCCGTGGAAATCCCTGCTGAAGGAAACCTGCACCTCCTGAAACAGGTCTGAGAAGGTTCCTTATCCTTTTTCTTATTTATAAAGAGCCCATTAGAAACCACTCTCTAAACCATATTTGGTAAACCTACTGAGAGAAACTGATTTATATGATATCCTTATACAGACAAGCAAAACTCAATGAGGATAGCAAAATGGCAATGCTATCATGATGTTAAGCAGCTATGACGTTTACTGCACCATCATATTTTAATGAACAAATACAAAGGGCAACTAAGGCTGATAGGAATGTTGTGAGTTTAGCAGGTTTCTGGTCATAAACCACTACATATAATTGTTGTAGTGTTGAATGTAGGTGACACTACAATCATTAAGATTCATCCTCTGAGGACCATGAACGCCTAAAAGAAATGTCAAGACAATCAACCCAATAGCTTTTGAGATATTTCAGTGTAGATCAAAGACACAAGCTCATTTCTTCTCTCTCTACTCTCCCGGCAGATCAAGTCCAGAAAGCGTCTGGCCAAAACGGTGCTGGTGTTTGTCGGCTTGTTTGCCGTCTGTTGGCTGCCAAGTCACGTGATCTACCTGTACCGCTCCTACCACTACGACCAGGTGGACACCTCGCTGGGCCACTTCATCGCCAGCGTGTGCGCTCGCATTTTGGCTTTCATCAACTCCTGTGTGAACCCATTTGCCCTCTACCTGATGAGCAAAAGCTTCAGAAAACACTTCAACAAGCAGCTCCTGTGCTGCACTTCCCCCAGCCGCTTCAACAGTCAAAACAGTGGAAGCACCAACATCACCACCGTCTGAAGGGAACTGTGTCCTCTTTGACATGATTACACGTGTGCTTCACAGCAATGGAGGCATGTTCAGCGTCTTTGCTCACACATGTTTACTTCTGCTTTAGAAGTGACAACCTCAGTGTGAATTGCTAGAGGTTTAGAAAGATTGGGTCGCGTTTGGTGGGATGATATAGGGGTCGAGGAGAGGGATAGATGACGATTGTTTGGGGATGACCTCGGTCGAACAGAGTCAGGGTGTGTTTGAGTGTCTGGGAACATAGGAGTTGAGTCTCAGGGTGTGGGCAAGTCTTGAAAGGTGTCATGCTTTATTATGCAAGCACTGCAGATGTGAAGTCGCTTGACGATGTCACAAAAATGTAGAGAAAACATATTTTATCATTGCATGAGATTAATATTTGATAAAACATTTAAAAGTTTTCTCTGTTGGCCCTTTCTCAAATGTATATGATTGTGTAAAATAAATGTAGTTGTTGGTGCCTAATAGCTAAGTGTATAGGGCCTAACCACATGAGCAAGTCCCCACTTCAATTCCCATATGGTCGGACTGTTTACTGCACGTGCTTTTCCTAGTCTTTCATCATCTTTAAAAAGCCCAACAGATTACATCAAGTGTCATTTGCAGTGGAAACCATGCACGAGAGGCCCGACCGTAGATTTGTGGTGCATGTTTCTATCTGCAAAAAGCAATATTAAAAAAGAATGACTGCTAAATATATATAAAGCAGAAGGTCCATGTAACATTTGATGTTTGTCAAATATTCTGAACATCTGCTGTTGTGCAGAGTAGAGAAGTTTTATAGGACATTTGTGAAATATTGAGTTATTAGAATTGTCAAATGTCCAAATACATAGACGTGTTCCTGTTAAATTGTGTGCTATTTAATGTTGGTTGGCAGTACCTCTGTATGTATACATATCTTTGTACTTTCTAAATTGTGTTTAATGTGGCTGTGTAATGTAGAGAGAGTTGCAACTAAGAATTATTCTCATTGTTGATTCATTGTAAAGTCTACAAAATATCACAATTTCGGATTAATCTAATCGTTTAAGCTTTAGTATTATATTGTAGATAGTGGTTTTATATTGAAGCCACAATGTATGTACTATAACTGTTGTGTGAAGTGTTGTTTTGAATTGTCTTCACCCTGAATATCTTGATGTTTATATTTAATAAAACTTTATCGAGATGTATGAGCTCCTGTGGCCGTAACTTTTCGAAAGGGGTTTTGTGATTGTAACATTTAAGCAGTAAAATCTCAATGAACAAAAACATAAAACTTTTGGTAACCTATCAGGTTTCTGAGAGTCTGTGGCTCTGCTGCATATCTCCATGCAAAGTAAGTCTCTGCTGCATATCTGTTGCAAAGTAAAGGGCTCTGCTGGATATATCTTTGCAAGTTGGAAGACTCTGCTGCATATCTGACCTTTAACCACTCCAACACACATGAATAGAGCTCAGAGCTGAGGTGTAAATTCAATTAGATTTCATTTGAACGCAGGACACAGACTCTGTGAATGCATAAGATAAGAAAAGGTTTATTTACTGGGTTCTATTGAATGAAGTTGGATGAGGGGAAAGGTCTGGCTGGTGGAGGCGAAAAGAAGATGGGAGCTGGTGTCTGGGGAAGTATAGAGAGACCTTGAGGACACAATTCAAGAGACAGGTGATGCACCATGTTTGCCTTACATTTTGAATGAATGGATGAAGAATCTGATACATACAGTGCAGAGTAGAGGAGGGATGGATTGCCGGTGTGCAGTTTGGAGCAGTCTAGAAGCATGAAGCACTGACCAGGGTTAGTGAACCCTGAGCCTTTGTATCCCTGGAGAAACGTACAGACTGCGGCTCATGGTTTTACACCTTCTTCCTCACAAGTTGAGACAAAGCATTTGATTGTGAGTTTTTGAGTCTCCCGTACCTTATATGTAAGAATGATGGGGCAATAAAAAAGATCTCTACAAATTGATCTACAAAGACTCAGTGGATCCATAGCACTCTCATTCTTGAGCCCAATGATGAGAACAAATACAATACAGTTCCAGCAGCAAGTCTTACTTTGAAATTCTCGTTGCCTTGAACTAACCTGGACCCTTAACATAAACCCACTGTGAACTGTGGCTTCACAGAATGCCAACATTAGTGGTTTTTGATCTTATGTGCCCCCTGTACTCAGAACCTTCCCTTTGTAGAGCATGGACAGCACGTGACCACAAGATGCTAGACACAAGCAGCAGGAAAAAGCTATAAAAACACACACATACACCCACACACACATTCTACAAAACTTTTGCTGAAAGCCAAGGTTGTTTTTTTTGCCTTTTAGGTGGACTTGTCAAGTTATGTCAGCTCAAACAAGATATTTCAAGTCTCTGCAAAATTGACCTTTTAGGGTGACATTTGAATCCGGGAAATGAATTCCCTTTCAGCAACATCGCATACGAGACTCTATCTCTCAGTTTATCAGATCATATTTTCTCGCTACATTTTATAGGTCACAGGCCTTTTCCTTTAATATTTCTAAATTATTTAGTTGGTTTAATATTTATTCTAATTCCATCACATGTTTAACATTAAACACCTCTCATCTTGAGGGGCTTTAACCAGTCAAAGAAAAAGGTCACGATCTTTAGGTCAGCTGAATTTATTGTAGGAAGTGATGTGGATCCCCACTCAGGGTAACAATGATGGTGACATTCATAGAAATGTAAAAAAAACTCACTTCGCAAGTCCTCAAACGTCCGGAAAAACACTTTACATTACGGGTTAGAAACCACAATACAATATTTGAGCCTTACAGTCAGGAATTGCAATTGTGTAAATAGGAGCCAATTAAGGCTAAAACAGTCAAGTACCACCTGCTGAATGAAATCACTTGTCCAGCTTTCTAACATGTTGCTCAGTGAAGATAATAAGAATGCAAAAGAACATTACAATCTATTTAAAAAACACTTTTTACAAAATACAGTATTTACTCTTAGTGGATACAACCCAAGATTTTTGTCATTTTCAAACTTGTAGTCCTCAATGGATACGTACTCAAGTGACATGGCTTCTCAGTCTCCGGAGCCAATAATACTACTTGTTTCACATTGGCAGTAGTACTTCCAACAGCTGTAAACTGATTTGTTTGTATAATCTGGAAAGTTACCCATTGAAAGGTTTTGGAATAAAGTAGTATAGAATTAATGAAAATGAAATAGAAAACACTTCATTATACATATAAAAATACAAAACCTGATACGAATGAACTGCAATATGAATATCTTGGAACTTCCAATGCTTGTATCCAAAATAGCATCATCAGCTATATGTGAATAACAATAATTATATCAAAAGCAACAATACTATAAAATACAGATGACTGATTTAGTCCCATGTTCTTGCCAGGGACAAGGCACAAATGTGAAGGACAATCAGCATGGGGCGCACAAAGAGGCGAGGTTTCAGGGCAGAGACGTCTCATTGATAGAGAAGGAAGTCCTTGATACTGTGAGGGAGGGAGAGGCCAGAGGCTCGGTGGAGACGACTCCTTCCCAGACTTCGACGAATACCGAGGCGACAGAGCTGCGACAGAGAGCAGGGACCTGGGCAGAGATAAAGGGTAGGTTTGTTACACCTCAGAACGAATAAATGGAGTTTATGTAACATGCATGAGTGTCCACAACAAACCTTTTTTCTGCAACGTGTCCCTAACTGTGCTGTTTGGCAATGAGAGATCCAGAGGAGTCTTTCCCTCTGCATTCCTACAACACCCATCAGCCCCGAAGTCCAGCAGGAGATCCACAACGTTGGCTCCTCCACTTCGAACTGCAGCATGTAAAGGACTGTCCTGCCCACACCCAATCCGAACATCTGCTCCTACACGGTCACACAAAGTGGTTTAACAACAGATTCAGTAAAAGGCGAACAGACAAATAACAAGATTCAGACCTTGAACACAAAAAAACCTTGAAGTGGACACGCTGGTTTGTTCAGGTCACAATTAAAAGGAAGCTGTACAGAGACAAAATAGGTGTCTAGTAAAAACATTTCTTTGATATACAGTCCACTATAACAATTCAAAAGCACCAAATATTCCCATTTGATAGACTGGAAACAGAATATTTGGTATTTATAATTGAAAAAATGAAGTGTTTAATGGCTATTCACATGTTGTGACAAAGAAACTCCTCTAATGACACGCTATATGCTACCTTCTGCCTTTGGTTTGTTTAATTCCTCTGGGATATTTTATTTGACTTGTGTAAAAGGTTTTTGAGGTTGTTGAAAAATAATTTAGTAATGTCATTTTTGTTTCTGTTATTGATTAAAATCAGTAAAACCAGCAAAGGCAACACTTGAGGGGCCTGGGTGTTTTTTTACTCTGTATATTGTGACAGTACATTACCTGAGCAAAGCAGCGCCCTGACACAGGCTGCAGTCTGGGCCGTGCAGGCAGAGTACAGCGGCGTCCCCCCCACCTGCAGCTCCATGTCGATGTGAGCTCCATACGACAGCAGCAACTCCAGACACTCTCTGTGACCTGATGGAGAAACTGCATGAGCATCTGTGCACTGACATCTTTATACTTAGCATACATGTTTAACACACACCTTTCTTAGCAGCCTCATGTAGAGGGGATACTAGCTGGTAGGGGGTGTGTGTGGAGGCACCGTGCTGCAGCATGAGCCTGACACAAGCAGCACTCCCGCTGCTGCAAGAGTTGAAGAGAGGTGTGGCGCTATCTGTTGAAACTGCTTCCACCTATGGGGGATTTGAAAGAGAATGATACTGGGCCAGAAGCACTTACAGCACAAACAACATAAAACAACAAATACAGTCCTTGACTTATGATGGAGTGCTGTTTCAAGCTAGAAGAGGCTAATGTAGCCTTGAGATGAGAATGAGCTACCATGGTATAGAAAGCTCACCTCTTTCTTACTCCACACCTAAGATTTATTTTCAAACTTAAAGTCCTCAAAGAGCAATTCAATGATTTTATAGCTTTACATAGACAGTTATACTCCCTTTCCCCTTTATGTCTTTCAAATAAGTTGTATGAGCATGTCAGCCATGTGATACATGCACACATGTTTTTTGAAACTGTCATGTACATTATCTCAGCTTCTCATTTATTTCATTTTGTGTTTTTGAATATGGGGCATTCTACCGAATTAGTACAAAGTGCGGTCCCACTACAAGAAAAACGATTTAACAAAACAATTAAGTATTCAGACATAGATATTTGCTAAGAATATGTTATGGTCTATTTAAACACAAGGCATTCAATTAGATAGTGATAAGCTTAATATATACAAAAACATCATTTAGGGTACTTTCTATTGGGAAGTAGCTGTCCCCAACCCTGACATCTAAATTAAAATGTCTGTAAATAACACTTAAAACTTTTTTTTAAATGTTGTTGATCTTTATGATTACATTCAAACAGAAGTTGGAATATTTAGATTTATTGTGGGTATCATTTATAAATAAAAAAACTATAATCAAAAAATCATGTCCCCAGTTTTCATGTCACTACCGCGATTGTTCAGGAAGGTCTTCACATTTGGAAAACAACAAGATACACTCATAGCCAACGGATCCTGCTCTTGGTTCATTGTATTGTTAAGATGACCTCATTTCAATGCATGTTTATCTGGTTTTTCAGGGTCATTACAACCCTAAGTCTGGTTTTTAGCCACACCCCTGCATTTTTGACTAGGCTGTGACACTGCATCCCTGTCCCTCATGGCTGAAAGTAGCTATATCCCATACTTTTGATATAAATCTGTTCCAAAATCTGTGACAAAATGGAATGGTAAGCAGGTAAATCCCACCATTTTGAAATAAATCTGTTTTAAAGTCTGAAAATCAGTGTGTTACTTTAAAGGTCTCTTATTATACTATTGTTAGGCATATATTATAGGTATCAGATATATAAAAAACATGTCTATGAAGTGTTTTGCTCAAAATACCAAACAGATCACCCATTCTAGCCTCATTCCCCTCTATTTCAGCCTGTTACTAAAGTGCAGATTCTGGGTCAGTAGCTTCAAACATTCACACTTCAACATAAGGCATGTTATGAGTTAAGATTAAGCAATAAGGTTGAGGGAATATGATACAACTTTGAGAACAAGATACTGTGGTCACTACCGAAACAGTGGATGTTTTGTAAAAAATGAAGTATATTGAGTTATCAACTAAAATGATATGATACTGATTGGTTTAATGTATGTTCAATTTCAACAATCATCAACTCTGGAATCAATATGATCAGTATTATGCATTTTACAAAGAAAGTTTGCATCATGATTTTTATGAATTGTATAAATTGAACTTTGAAATTTGATTAAAAATTCACTTTTATTAATTTAATTGTGAAACCCTCAAGAAATATTTGTTAAAATACTATTTAGAGAAGGGAAGGTAAAACAATCTTAACAGGTTAATATAATACTTTTTTACAACAGTGTATGTACTATGTTTCGGTAGTGACCATTTTTGGTAGAGGAAGAACATTCCAATACAGTCTGAAAATAAGATATAAAAATGTACGGTTCTTTTACTAGATATGTGTAATTTAGATATGGTACAAAAAAAACATACACCATTTCAAAACATTTCCAACCTGACTTTAGTCCAATTCGGTAGAATGGCCCATATAGCCTGGTTCAAGTGTTTAAAGTAGATATTTAGTTTTGAGGGGTCTGCTACACCAACTAGTAGGTTTTATAATTTTCACTGTTGAAGATCAAAAGATAGATGACAGCGATGAGCACTAATAATGTCCATAAAATCAGCTGATAACATTGAAAGTGGGTAATTAAACAGATGTACAATCTCAAGGTTTTTCTGTGTTCTCCATATATGACAATTCAGATGAAAAACACCCCAAAAACAGTCTTTAGAATAAAAATATACAAATGTTCTTACATTTGCACCACTGTCCAGCAGGAACTTTGCACAAGCATAATGGCTGCCAAGGCAAGCTTCATGGAGAGCAGAGACTCTGTCCAAACTGAGCGTGTCTACATGGAAGCCCTGCAGGGAGATCAGAGGGAAATACAGTCAGATACAGCCTAGCATTGCATTGTGAGCAGACATCCAGGTGGACCCAAGTTCACCTGTGCGATGAGGCTCCTCAGGTGTAGCAGTCTGCCTTGGTAGGCGGCTTCATGGAGAGGAGTTCTGTCGGACCAGAAATCTAAAACACAACAATAATATCAGGAACTTCACATTTGGAAAACAACAAGATACGCTCATAGCCAACTGATCCTGCTCTTGGTTCATTGTATTGTTAAGATGACCTCATTTCAATGCATGTTTATCTGGTTGTTCCGGGTCATTACAACCCTAAACACCAAACTTACTGAACAATACACACTTAGGATTGTGTTCAGTACTGCAGAGCCAAGTAAACAATATGCTAATGTTTCAGGTACAATCAAACTGGTATCCTGACAAAAAAATGTTGTTTAACCTAACACATGCAAAGCTAAACCACACTTTCTAGAAAGTTTCTGAATTTGTTCAAGAAAATACAAAAGTAATCAATTTGTGATTCTTTCATTACAGAAGAAAAATGAGCTTGAAAAGGACAAACAAGACAGAGAAAAAACTTACCAGCCATCAGTGAGTTGCATGCCAACCCCCCGTAGATGTACAGGGGCCTCTGCCAAGGTTGGGTGCAAAGGGAAACCTCAGTCTGAACTGCAACCATGATGTAAATGAAACAGAAGACGTGTCTTAAGACTTACCAGCATTAAGGCTCACCCAGGAGAATACACGGACCTGTGCTCGGCCTTCCTTCTTCCCTCTTATCTGGGTCCTTGGCCACCTCCCCCACATTGCCACCTCCCACCCACCCTTGTCCCATTCCATGGATATAGTCTACAGTATGAGCATAACAATGGTTTTCTTAGGGCTTGTTCTGATGATACATCTTGAATAAAGCAGTAAGAAATGCGCATACACACAACTACAAGCAGAGCGGCACACAGGTTTGGACAAGTCATTAAATACCATGGAAAAAGAAGGGTGTTATCTATGCTCTGATCATATATTTTCTGAGCTTAACATGATCTGCGATTGTATCAACATTTTATGAAAACACACAGTAAAAATGTCCTAGCAAAACAGCTACTTATAACTCAACATGTTGACGCACATCCTCTGATTTGTTACAGATTTATAATATAACAACATAGTATTGTTTTAGTAAGTTGAGTTCTTCAGTCACTGCAGGCAAGATGTAATGTTCAACTCTAATTGCAAGGCTATGCAAATCCCCATTGTTGGCCTTGAAAAGCCATGGCACCTCAGGGCTATCACCTCCTGTTCCACAGCTAATCTGTGTTTTGTCTTCAGAGCCCTCTCTTTTGTTTAGCAGTTGTCTGCTTTGTTTACACTGTCGTGTAACGGCCTGGGAAAAGATGAAACTCCAACAATGTAGTAGACGATCCCCATGAAATTACATGAAAACAGATGAAACATTAGAAAAAGTACACTTTATTTTCCATTGTGAACTGTCTGGGAGTCAGTCACTAACATAAACTCCCAGGTGTTATATAAAAATGTATAACTCTTTTCAAGTCTTACATTTGTATCTTCACACAAGGTAGTCCCTTTGGATTAGTGAATGTAAACAATAATCTGGGTTACCATGAGTTTATTCTGCATGTAGTAGCCATGTTTTAAATGTCAGTAGGCACCACGGAGAGAACATATAGCACATGTAAGCAGCTCAAATGAAGCAGAGGTATGGAGTTATCCTAATATTGACATTTCTGGTTCTGCTGCTCGCTTCACGGCACTTTTCGAATTGGCTCTGATTTCACCGCCAGCTTCCTTCCACAGTCCGTTAGGGCCGGTGGCGTCTACTGCCGCGTCCATGACCTGATCTGGGGCCCACCACTGCAGGAACAGCAGGAAGAGGAAGTCTAAAACAGCTATGAAGGCAAAGATGGAGCCAGCTACGGGGCCACAGTGAGCCCTCAGCCTCCGTAACCGTTTGTCCAGGGGAAGCACCTCCTCTCCGGCCACTCGGTCGTACACCTGAGAGGAAAACACAATGAACAGTCACCATTTTACATTCAGTGTGAAGCTTTCAGCTGTGTGAATGAACAGCAGTTTTACATTCACAAGAAAAATCAGGTTAAACAGGAAATCCGAGAACAAGTTTACACTTTGCAACCGTATCACTTATTCCATTCATCAGGAAAGGAGAAGATATTTCCTTTAGAAGAGCTGAGAGGAGAATTATTCAACTCCTTCTTTGGAAACTCACTTATTCTACTATAAACTACTAAATGAAGGCTTCAGTTTTAGTCAAATTAAATTAAATTAAATACTTTGTTTAGGTGTTTTTTATCTAAATAATATGTTTAATCGAAGTTGAATTCCATTTGAATTTGAACTACCCAAATATTGACAGATTTGGCTCTAGTAAACATGACATACCTCGACTACAGTACATGACATCTCAGAAAAAGAAACTGTAAGCCAGTTAACTACAGCGCACACTATCAATAACCCGACAATGGATTTTTTACATCCAAAATCGAAACTAAAGCTTTAACTGCAGCTCGCTTTGATCTGTAGAGGGAACAAACAAATAAAAAAAGCTGATAAAAGAAGGTGCAGCTGTATTTACAGACATCTCTTTATTATGAAGGCATGCACAGGTGTTAGTGAACCCACCTTTTCCGTCCTCTCAGCAACGTTTCTCCAGGTGTAGAGGTTTTGCACACGAGCATGGATAGAGGCGGGGGAGGGGACTGAGGCTGAGCGCTGCCGGGCGATGACCGTCTCCAGACCGGCACACAACGCCCGCACCGTAGGCTCACACATGGTGATCAACTCTTCAGGCAACACCTCAGGAATGCCCCCCACACGAGTGCTGACCACCTGAGAAACAAAACAAAAAGTGGATGAGCACATTGTATATACAAACACACATAATGATAAATCACACTTTCTGTGAGAGTAAAACATCTGCTCTAACATCCCTTTCAAACTAAGGAGAGCATAAATAGCTGAAAACGTATTTGACCTCTTATTGATAACAAGTTCAAATCTTTTTCACCTCTGACCGCACCCTGCATCACATCCAACAGTGATGCTGCTGACCACACCCAGAGAGAACTGAGAACCAGACAAACCCAGACTTTCATCTTGTAGCTACTGACTCCTAAATAAGTTATTAGCCTTAATAGGTTTCTTTAAATTAAAAGAACACTCAGGGGAACATTTCAGGCACAGATTACATTAAATCGCTGGCTTTGTCAGCTGGCGGTGGCTTTTAAATTGTTCAGACATAAGTGACTTTTTTACTTCAATTGTTCCTTACAGCTTTATTCAGACATGACAGAGAGGGTTCTCCTAGCTTTACTCAATTATAACCTAGTTTCTGATAAAACATGTTATTTTCTCTTCCTCCTGAGAAAACACGAGACCCAACTTCCCCTGTCACATGTGAGTGTCTGGGTGGCCAGCTGCAGTCATTGACAACTATTATTTTTAACAATATATATATATATATATATATATATATATATATATATATATATATATATATATATATATATATATATATATATATATATATATATATATATATATATATATATATATATATATATATATATATATTTTTTTTTAATGTATGGCTCCTTTTGCGCCACAAACTTTACATGGAGGGTACGACTTTTTGAGTATAAAACGTATAATTATTCAAAAGCAGTGCTTTGCAGCAGAGTTGAGCAACCACCTACGAGCTCACCCACAGGAAATCTGCCACAAGGACACTTCCTCAACTGTGTCAAGACAACTACATTCAGTTGTAAAGGCTGTTTTGAAACATGATTAAAGCAGAATGTTAAGGCCGGAAAATAAAAGTTTCAGCATTGAATAACAGCCAATTCGTACAGACAAAAGAGTGAAAGGGTGAGAGACAATGGGAGGAGTAAGAGAAGGCGGGAGGGAGAGACAGAAAGTCTACTGTACTAAGGCCTAGGCTCCACGGGGACGAAAACGGGTTGAATCCGCATATTTCTCATGCGTATAGCCCTTTAGGCTCGACGACGCCGTAACGGAAACGTAGAAACAGACCCTGCAAACGGGTCCAAAGGTGGATAGATCTGGGAACGGAGCGCTCTGGGGGGTCCAACGGGGCCGTGGGTTCGCCTATACGGTCATCCGTTTCATAGCCCCGCCTCTCCCCACCTCTGCTGCTCACCCCCGCAAAAGTACACTGCACACTGAATTCAGATTATTTATCTTTATCTCGATATGGACATAAACGCGAGTGAAGTCTAATCTGACAGGACGGAGACACGCAGCTCCTCCCGCTGTGATGCAGCGGGAGCAAAACACACACTTCAAGTCAGATCACCACCCTTAGCTATTTTAATTACCTCTCAAACTACCTAAACTAGTTATAAATATGTTTATTTTTACTGTCGGGTTTACTTACTGGATCAGCTGCTGCATGAGGAAGCATGAAGATTTAAACTTTAACACACATTGACCGGCGAAAAACTCTGCGCGGTTCCCTCGGCCCCCACCGCGGAGAATAAACAGAAGTGCAGCCATGACAACCATTCTTCTTCGCTGCTTTTGTGGAGGAAGTTGCTGCTTTTTGTGGAGGAAGTTACAGCGCCACGTACAGGTTCGGCATATGTACTGCAGCTTTTCCAGCGGTTGGATGTAAACGGAGCCGTCTCGTGGAGCTTGACACAATCCGGTGTATATTGCGTGTGGGCGGAAGGTTTTTTGCGGTTGCGTTTGCGTTACTCCGATGCGTTTTGCCGTATGGGTTCCCGTGGAGCCGGGGCCTAAGGCTGCATCTACACGGAGACAAAAACGAACCGAATTCGATATCAAAAATCTTCCGTCCACACGGTATCGGCTCAATAAACGTGTCCGTCCACACGAGAACGCTCGACCCGCTGGAGACGCTGTAGTACATATGCCGGGCCTGTAAGTGGCGCTGTACTTCCGCCACAAAATACACCAAAAGCAGCGAAGAAGACCCCCGAGCATGGTTGCCATGGTTGCCTGGTTGCCCTTCTGTTTATTCTCCACAGTGGATTTAGCAACATGTAGTTCATGTAGTTCTCCATGTCCCCTTGTTGCTGATGGTTGTGGTAGAGGAGCTGTAGATTTTGCTCTAACATCTGTAGCATGGTCAGTAGCAGTAACTACTGACGATGCTACAGCAGAGGTGGGGAGAGGCGGGGCTATGGCTTCATCGTTATCAGGAAATGATCGTATAGGACGTGCACACGTAGCCGTTTGGCCCCCCAGAGCGTTTCGTCCGCAGATCTACTCACCTTGGGAGCTGTTATAGTTTGAGGGCTCCATTTCCACGATTCCGTTACGGCCTCGTGTGGATGAACCGTCCATACGATAGAGAACTGTAGCAGATACAACCCGTTTTGTGTCTATGTGGACGGGGCCTAAGTTCCACCTTTGAAATATTTTAATGACTGAACACATTGCTGCTGTAACCAAATAAGTTCCCAATGTGGGATGAATAAAGTATATGTATGTATCTATGTATCTATCTATCTATCCACCCATCCAATCTATATATCTATCTATCTATCTATCTATCTATCTATGATATAGAGATATAAAAAAAGACAGACAGACTTTTTCCTACCATTCCCTATCCTTGACCTATTTTATAAATGGTTACATACCTGCAGTCCACAGCTGGCTCCTTCTAAGATGGCCATGCAGAACGCTTCAGTCAGAGACGTGTTGAGAAAGATGTGACCCTGCACCAGAACGTTACGAACATCTTTGTGCTCTAAAGCCCCAAGCAGACGCACCCTGCAGTCACACAAATTAAAGGAATATGGCAAATGCAATACTACCTTAACACATAAAGAGTTCAGTGTTTTATTATCAATGTCAGACTGCTGTTGTGGGTCAATTGCTGGAAATTCACACCACAGTCACTTGGTTTCCTCAGACATCACAGCTTAGTTACAATCATTTCTTAATATTTGAATAAGCAGTAAGCTAAACAGTGTTGTCTACCTATAGTACGTGAAATGCAGCTGCTGCAATATGACAGGGCTGGTGAAGTAGCAGAGAGCATGTTTTAAAAAAGGTTTAAGTGGTACCTCCCTTATCACTTTTTGGGGATATGAGTATACCTGTCATGTAGTTGGTATTTCTCTCTCACTTCCTCCAGAACAAGTCTCTTTGGTCCCTCTCCACCAATAAGGAATTGCAGATCTGGATGTTTGTGGCAGAGCACTGGGATTATTCCACCAAGAAGGTCGATACCTAAACAGAGGAAGAGTTGGTGAACACTTGCTATAAAAATAAAATGATGCAATTCTTAATTAAAGCTTATTACAGGCTGACAAAAGCTGACTATTTTAAGATGTATGAATGTTTAAGAATCAGATATTTATATTGAATGATTTTATGACTAACACCGTCCCTGGAATAACTATTAATGCAAGTTTGATTTGTGAAAACTCAAGCTTTTTGAAGCATTATTCACCAAAATTCACATTCTGCTGATACCCACTGTCAAGCCAAAATGTAATCAATAAGCTTAAATGTCTAATACAAGAGCTTCTCAGTACCTTTGCGGTAGACGAGACGGCTGACAACAACAATAGTGATCCTGTCGTCTTGGCGCTGGGAGGGGTCAGGGGTGAAGTCAGTAGGGTCGACAGCGTTGGGAATAACAGACACTATCTCTGGGTTGAGTGCTGCGCGGAGCACCGTGTTCTCCTTACTGGTGTAAGACACGCACACAGTGTGGTTGGTGTCACACAGCGACACCGTCAGAAGCTTGTTGGTCAGCACGGAGCTCACATCAGCAAACCCGAAAAGTGAGTGGTCGGTGAACACCTGAAAATGAAAATACGCTTTAATTTCAGCAGAATATGTGCTGTGAAATGCTTCTGAGACCTGGCTCATAATAAGTCAATTACCGTGGTCAGGCCCATGGTCTTGGCGTGGAACAGTGCATCATGGCCCATGGCGGAGAACGAGCTGTGTGCATGCACCACAGTGATGCGTTCCCTTACAAACACACAGCGCATCAGTGGGAGACTGTGGAAGCAGGTGGTGGCTGTGGACTGGTTGTACATCACCTGCAGGGGAAGGTAGTAGACCTTCAGTCCGTTGGTCAGGTGCCTGACACCTTTCCTCCTGCCATAGGCATGCGTGACAATGACCACCTTATGTCCTTTTTCAATCAAACACTGCGATAGCTGGTAAATGTGACTTTCTACTCCTCCCATATTTGGGTAGAAGAAGTCTGATACCATGCAGATGTTGTGCTTCCTGTTGGGGATCCCAGCAGCCTCTGCGGGAGCTGCAGATGTTCCCTGAGATGAAGTGTTATTCACAGCTGCCGCTCTTCTTCGTTGGCCCATTGTAGATGCCTTGTGTGTCTCTGATCCTTACTGAAATAATAAGTTTAATAATCGGTTAATAAATGAAAAGCAAAATGAATGGGTGAAATATGTGTTTTAATAATAATAAATAAGTTAAATACATTTTCAAGCAAAAATAACATAGTTTAGTGTAGAAACAGTACAAATAAATGTCCCAACAATTTTGAATATTAAAAAATAACTTATCTTATTTATGACCAAGAATGCCAAACGCTTCCTGTTTCCACATTTTTAAATTGGGTTTAACTTTTCTCTTATGTTATTTTCATTACAAATTATATATCTGTTGGGCTGTCTATCATTGTTTATTTGATTGTCATTAAGTATTCAAAAATGCTAATTTGGTTTTCTCAGATCAAAAGTTGACATCTTTAATGTGTTTATTCAACAACAATGCAATAATTAAAGCTATTAAGTTAAATGTTAACTTGTTAATTCAAGAAGATGAAACAAAAGCTATTTATGGTTTGTGTTTTTTATGAATGACTTAAATTGTTTATTTATTATAAAAAAGGGAATGATAACTAGACTTGACCTTTCATTTCAGCACTAACTGCATTCAACTGAAATCAAGATGTTATTGATTTATTATCATTAGCACAACAACTACAGACAAGCAGTATTTGCAGTGAACATCTTGGTTGAGGCTCTCAAAAAAGTTAGTTTAATTTGTAGGCCATAAAAACAGTAAATGCTAAATGCAAGTTAAAATAAAAGGAAAATATTGAATACAGTTATATACATTTGTGACAGACAGTATTTCAAAGGAATATACTGAATGTAAAGAGCCATGTCGTAAATGTATTTTAAAATAAGAAATATATATAAAGTTGTACAGCGATGTAACAAGTATGTAGTAATAATGGTCCATGGTAATAGGTTATAACTAAACTCCAGGTACTTGATAGTAAATCACACATAGCATCATACATAAATAATAGAATATCTGTTATAAACCACCCCTGGTACTGTCAGTGTAAGTTAGCTTCTGTCTAAGCATTAGTAGAGTAAATAATCCCTTCAACTTGCATTCACTATGCGTTAAATATAGTAAGATATTCAAGCTTGCTCATCAGCACATATAGACAGTATTTACAAAACACTACGTGAGGGGACTATCTGCCAAATATAAGCCACATTAACGTTGTTCATAACTAGTTCTGTTTACGTTAGCATCAAGCTAACACACTTTGTTCATACGTAACCACTTTACTGACATTAAAACAGAGAGTTTCCTATCCTTTCTAAATGCCTTACCTTGGACGAAATGTCAATTCTGTTTCAGACTGGGAAAAAACACAAAACTCCTTTTCAAAATCATTTCGACTCGACAGTCCTGAGCTAGCATATTGTTAGCCACCTGTATGACTTCCTGGTGCGCTACTACGTCACACGCAAAGACGTACCACGGTGATGTTGTTTCTCATTTATTTTTTACACAGTATATAATTTACACGTTACAAGAAATGTAATGTCATCATGTTCAATATTTTTAAGGAGTCAATAAAGTAACCAAATATAGACGTTTGTAAATCAAAAAGGTTAAATAATTATTTAATAGAATGTTTTACACTTACATGTATGTTGTTGAATTAGGGCAGGCAATGAATATATCACTAACCTTTATCATCAATCTGGGTTATTTTCTCATAAAGCAGATTACTTTTCATTAAATGAATTTTATATTTATTAAATAAATACATATTCCACAAAGCTGTTCCTTCCATCTGCCAAGACGTTTGTGACATGACATTATATTTAACATTGACACTTTCTTTTTTTTTGTAAGTCTTGAGCGTCACAAAGGAAGCCCCCCTTTGATATAATTTCCTCTTGGAATATAACTTCTATGATAGATTGGCTAAGGCTAGCACAAATGTGCATACTTCTATTATGAGAAGACGCCATGATCTATATTTTTACAGCTATGACTGTTAGATTTAGTTTAATTTATAACTTATTTCATTTAAATGTGAATGGTGTGTATTTACAAAGTAGTGCACCGTACAGCTGACTGCTGAAGGTATGTATGAGATCAAAGAGTAGGGAGGGAGTTTTTACTTGATAAGTTTGAAGTCATGAACTTATCTGAAATTATTGAAATCCATAAAAATATTCTGTGATATTGTTGCTGATTTAGTTGTCTTCCTATAAGCTCCATTAACCAGTCACAACATGAAATGTATTCAACAGTGACAAACTCCCCAAGAATGCGGTGAAGCAACTAAAATGTAACGGTATCATGCCGACACGCACACAACAAAGCAATTGATAGAAAAAAAGTAACAATGATGAAAGGATACAAACAACATTAGGATTTAGCAACTGAAAGTCTAAAGACAAAAGGGTTTAAGGCTTGTTTACTTATTCTTACAAAACATTACAATATATTACATTACATTCATTTAGCTGAGAGAAGTGTGTGCTAGAGTGTATGGTTTAACCATATCCTGGATGTACTAGGAAAGGCTGAATCCCTTCACAGCACGGTAGGCCAGAAGCAGTGTCTTGAAGCGGATTCGAGCAGCCACTGGCAGCCAGTAAAGGGAGCGGATGAGTGGTGTTATTGGTTGCGTTGCCTTCTTGGTCAGTACTGGACCCAGCAAAGCATTTTGAAATGTTTAACTTTAAACCTTTGTTGGAAAGTTCACACATTATGCAGTGCACCAAATTCTTTTCAGGGTTAGGGTTAATCATTGTGTGGTTGTCTATGTAACCATTATTCGCAGACATTCGTTTTTGGTGTCAAACTGTCACAGACCTTGATGTACTATATTACATACAATGACCATAACCTATTTATTTACAAAAGTATTACAAATCTGTACTTAGTGAACCATGTATAGGGAAGTTATGGCATATACAGAAGAAAAAAAACGCACCATCATAAAGGAATAGAAGAGACTTGATCATCAACGTTAAAGAAACAAGAAAATCACAGTATACAGTAAGTCACCCAGGTACATACATGTTTTAGACCTTCTACACATTTCTGCATTTCATTTTTGTTCTAATGTGAAATCACGATTTATAGTATTTGTATTGTGCTATAAAAATATCACCTTTGTGTTATATTTGAAAATAATATTTGCAATTTAAAACATGGTTGCATATAAACACATAATACATATTTCCTACGATTGCTGCAAAAGCTTGCAATATCAGATAAGGTCCAACATCTTACATTTGAAGGCAGACATGTTTTTATCATTAAATGGCTCTGTTTTATACAGTATTTTATTAATAAAATATATGGGAGTATATATGAATCAGCTTAACTGTTGTGTGTATTTACAAATTGTTTTTCATTTTGATGATTTACCATGTAAAAAAAAAAACTTTTGAAAAGAAAAATAAGTAGCATCATACAAACATCCACAAGAGTTCACAAAATGGACATTTAAAAAAAAAAAGGAAAACCACATTCCCAGAGTGGCATGAACACAGGATGTAACCTGCCTGTTAACAGTTTATTTGCAGGCATTGTGAATCATACACATGACTGATAGTGTGGTTGAAGGTGCTTTCACATTTCTTTTTTTTCTTTCCGCGATACAGTTTTGTCCTGTTTTGTTAGCCGTTGAAGTTGTTGGTCTCAACTTGTTGTATCCAGGGTAAACTCCTTTATCAAAGACAAAAGATATGGAAAGATAAAACACAACGTCCAATGTCAACACAATTACTTGTTTTTATTTAACTCTGTTTTTCCCCTAATAACGTATTTCTTATATTTATCTTCCTCTCTCCTTTACACATGAACACATCTGGTTTAGTACACACGAATTGGTTTAAACACATTCTGTATTATTCCGTTTGTTTTTCCCCCTATATTTTGTCATTTGATATACTTTCTATTATCTTGTTTGGCTGTTTGTGTCAAGTGTTGTGCAACTGTGGTTAAACAAGTAAACCTGAAATACAAACTGCTTTAGAATCAGATCTTTGGCATTATGACAAACACTTACTATGGGACGGTCCTACGGCACCACAAGAGCAATGAAAGTCCAAGCACAAACATAATGGGAATGTAAAAGCAGTAGCTTCTTCTAATAATTGTACCTGTGTCAGAAAAATGCAAAAAAAAAGCCATTATTTGATGGCCCATCCTAAACTTAACTTTAGTTATTTTAAGATATGTTGCATGATGAATGATACAGATAATATCATAATGCTTTTTGCAGAGTAGTATTGAACAATAAGTCCCAACCTTTCTGAAATAAATTAAATCAAATAAATACCTGCATAGTAATTATAGCCGATGTACGTTGCTATGGCTTTGGCCTTGTCCCGACATGTAGGTGCTGAGGTCGGGTTGAGAGTGGTGTTGAGTTGGCTGTAGAATTGGATTTGGCCAGTAGGATCATCCGGGTTGTATTTTTGAGTTATATTAGTATTGATTGAATTTCGCAGAGGCTCTCCATCCAATTCCCACTCAATCTCTGTCGTGTTGTAGCGTCCCTTTACATTACACTTGAAAACATTTACACCTCCACTGTTGTTGGCTGTCTGAAAAACACTGTAGCATGCTGTTGAGGGAAGACTAAAGTTACAATTGTGCGAGATTGTATTACTCTTACTGTTAATGGGTTAAATAAGAGATTGGTTGATTTGCAAAATGAATTAATTACTTGCCATAAATGTTTAGAGATACAGAAGGTCTTCGGTATCTCTCATCAATGTTAAAACTGCATCTGTATTCCCCCTGGTCCTCTGCTGTGATGTTGGTGAGGAGAATTGAGCAGTTTTCTCTGTTCTCAGACAGAAAAGCTTTTCCTCTGTCCTTGTATTTGTCATTGAATGTTTCAACGGTCTGTATGTGTCTGAACACCTGCGTCCCATTTGGGCCTTCTGTCTGCCACTTAACATCACTGCTCTCATTTCTGCCTGAGCAGGCGCATGGCAGAAGGACATCGTGTTCTAGACAGCCATTGATAGTTACATGTTTATCTACAACAGAAAAAGTACATTCGGGTAAGTCCAGTTTCCAGACTCTCGTCAAAATATGAGTTTTTAACATACACTGTTAAACATTGAATTCTGTAATGATTTGCCACTAGGGCTCCTAATCAAAACAGTAACACATCCTGGTAATTGTCTTCACTGCCATTGTTATAATTAATGCAGTGTGGTTCAGATTTCTTGATAGCTGACTTTCTTTTCAGACTTATTCGCAGAGGTCTCTTCCTCTCCAAAAAAAACAGATTAGGTGATTTAACAGGTAAAAAACATGAATAAATAAGTTTTGTGTTAAAAATCCATGTGGACCCTAATGAAAAGGGCTGCACATTTGTTCCGTTTCTACTCTGATGACTAAAAACCCTCCATTAAGATATTTATTTAAAAGGATCTGAATAGTGTATCTTAAAAAGGGAAGTGAGTACGATATATAAACTGGAGAAAACAATAGTTCCGTGGGAGCTTTCAAGACATCCTGTGCATCTGATGAGTGTTTTGGTCTATTGTGATAAGGCGACCACCTGGACCAATTGGCGTTGTCTGACATGTAAGTGATCTTTGATGTATTCCTATAAAGAGTCTGTCCTACAGACATCAGCACACACTCTTGGGGAGGCGTCATGCGTGCACGCATTAAAGATCTTAAAAGACTTTATATGAATATTGTGTTTCTTTGCATAGTTGCCTAACTCATAATTTTCTCTAAACAGCAGCTGATTTTAAGTTGCGACGGAATTTCCATTCCTGCCACCATTCTAATTTTTCTAGTGTTTGTTTGGAACAGCTTTTTATTAATAAAGCTCGCTTTTTGTTCATACTTTTATACCCCAATCTCTCTATTCTGCATTTGGGTCCTGATAACCTTCTGTTCCTGATAGACATACTGGGATGTCTAACAAAGATAGCATCAGCTTTATTTCCAAGCATACATCTGCAGTGAACTTATCACACACACACACTGATGTCTGCTTTCATTTTATTTTTAAATATGTTTCTTTTAATATTATTTGTATTTACTTCCTTATTCCATGGTAACATTTTCAGTGTGTTCAGAAGGAACTCACAACGTGGCTCCTACTTACATTTTAATAAAATTCCATTCTGTATCAGACGTTATTGACTAATTTGATATCTCCATTCTGATTTGTAGTTCAAACAACTGCACAGCCACTCCTAGTTAACTGCACACTTTCCTCTTGTTTGTATTGGGCAAACAGAAAGGTATACATAGTTATTGACAGACAAATGTGAACAATTTGAAGCTCCAGTCTTACAGATATTCAAAATAAAGTTGTTTAGTTTCAAACAAGAAAAAAAAGTCATATTTTGATGTCGCAGCAAAATTATGGAAACACGTGATTCTTTATGGTTTTTCACTGTACCTTGTGTTATGGGAAATGATCAATAAATATTAAAAAAAATACTAAACCCTATCACGGAGATTTGATTTGAGTTATAGCTCTATACAAATATTCAAGAAATAACGTGTTGCAAAACATGATGTAGATGTTGAAAAGACGGACATATAATTCAAATCATACAGAAATAATTGCATCACTGGAAACCATATCAGTTCACCTAAATACAACAAAAACGAATTGATGGCACACAAGTAAGTTACATTTATGGTAAGCTTTTTGGTGACGTCAACGCAGGGCTTAGGTTCCTCTTTATTCACATTAAATTATCCTTTTTTAGGGTTTTCATTGCTAACGGCTGTTTCTTTGTTAAAGTTGCGCAAATAACTAATACATTGAAATGTAAAATTAGGCAACCACTAGTTAACGCACGACCGATCAGAACTAATGTAGGACAAACACAACATGTAACATGTGTAGCCTATAAGAATTACACATCTACCAGTATTGTCCATACAAGGTCCACATGCTGAAGTAGCTTACACACTTAAATTCACAATTAAATATCTCATGTAGGGTAATTGGAAGATAACATGGAACTGTCATGTGATAATTATTTTAAGGTTAATGTTGAGTGGTTTGTATTGAGGCTTACCTGCGGAGACAGTTACCACGATAAAAACTGCCAGGAAAGTTCTCATGTTGCGACTCAGTGTCGAGGATATGCTGTGAACTTGGCAGCCTATTACAATTTCGAGAAGTGTTTCTTATTCTAATTTCCTCCGTGTAGTAGATGTATTTTCTTCATTAGCCAACATTTTCCAAAATCCGTTCAATGCGCCAGTAGGCTAATCCTTTTACGTCCGAAGCGAAAGTAATACATGTGGTTGGAGTTTCCGGAGTAGCAGACTGTCATACAAATGATTACAAATACGTCAGTATCTGCCTTGTCATCGATAAATTAGCCTCCCACCTATGCCTTCTCGTCTCTCGCGTTTGCTTGGTAAAATGAGCGACTCTTCATTTTTGAGTGCGCGATTTATCGCGCATTTACGGTAATCGCTGAGAAGCGGCACTGGCGCTAGTACAAGAATAAAATAATGCATATTTGTTCTGCTTTATTTGTATGGGCATAGATATGTCTCATAATTATTTGTGTGTAAATATGTGATTTGTAAATGTAAAACACCATCCACAAATGCATTTAAAAGATTTGCAAACTCACAAATAAATTTGCAAATGTAAAACGGATCTGCAAATGGGAAAAATATTTTTACAAATAAAAAAAAGATCTTTGAATATCTCTTTAACATTTACAACTTTCGATCAGGCATTTGTGAATCCATTTTGTATTTGTCGACCAAAAATGCGCTTGCGGATCTCAAATCTCTGCTTGTGGATCTCAAATCTCTGCTTGTGGATCTCAAATCTCTGCTTGTGGATCGTCTTTTTACACACACGAGGCTCGTCTCAATACCCCTCCTCGACTCCTCTCTTCCCCTCCTCCGGGAATTGACCCGGAAATCGATCAAGCCACGCCATGTTGAAGGACGTCCCAATAGCTGAAATGCACACGGAGGAGTCGAGGAGGGGTGAGGGAGGAGGGGTGCGGGAGGAGACGAAAGGGAGGATATATATGAGGTGTGATTTGTGCCAAAGAACAGATAACTAAGCTCACTGATACCCCTTTCACACCAAGGCTTTTCCCCTTCTAGCTCCGTGCTAGAGCTTTTCTGGTTCAGAACCGGTTCTTCGGTTTAGCGCCGGCTCTTTTCACACCGCTCAGAGCCCGACTGGTGCTGCCGCTGCTGCGTCATGACGTCACAGTTTACGTCGCTGATTTTCTCCCCAACGGAGCTCACCTCACAACAACAACGGGCCGGGGACTGCGTCAGGTCGATGATCGTGTTGCTTTTAATCATACGAAGCCAGATTAAATTAAATAACGACTTCTCCAACCTTATACTTTTCTCCAGAGTGCCGTGGTTCATTGTTTATTAATGTGTTTCAGCGGCATTTACCGACCGCTGCAGTGCTGGCTGCTCTTCCACGGGAGTGTATTCTCCCGTTAGCTCCGGGTTAGCTCACACGGCTCTAAAGTATTCACTGTCTGACTGTCACACAAGCAGCTGATACATATCCCCAGTTCCCCTTAAGTGAATGTGTGTCAGTCTGAATTGACGCTGTTTGGTGTCAGTCTGAATTGACGCTGTTTGGCATCACAACGCTGTTATGAAAGTTTCTCTGGTATAACATGGGTGATGTTAGCATAGCAACCGAAGCTAAACTGACTACTTGCTAAGCCGTTTTCTACAGGCACTTTTTACCGGCGTATTTTTCATTATGATTCTACTTGTGATAGTCGGACATGACAACCTGTGCAGCCCATGTATTGATTCCATCCGATAGCTGCTATAATAACAAACAAAACGTCTGCCTGCTCTCCACAATGATCAATAACAGCGAACGGATGGTCAAAGTAAGGTACAAATAAACAGAATCACACGAAGCCTGGTTAGTGTTGCCTGACTTTATAAAGCGTGTTTTTTTTTTACAAGTGTGTGGTTGCGTTCTAGTCACTTTGCTCAGCACTACTGCTGGTTACAACTTTTATTTGCCATACTCGCCTTAACTGTTAGCTCAGGTTAATCTCGCCCCCCTCCGACGTAAGCGTGACGTATGCGGTTCTTGCTTCTAGACTGACAATTTTTTGGAGCTGGAAACGAACCGGATTCCGGAGCTAAGAGGCAGCGCCGCTGCGGTGTGAACAGGAAAACCCGGTACTTTTCAGCTCCAGCTCCGAGCCGGAGCTGAAAACGCGTTGGTGTGAAAGGGGCATTAGTTTCTGTTTTTGTAGTGTATTGGTCTTTTGTAGGTTTTTCCTTTATTCTTTATATATTCTATTGTGTATTCCTTGGATACTCTATCGATCTTTATCTTTTCTACTGTACATTTTTCAGGCTTTGGGGGGGGGGGGGGGATGCCAGCTAAAATCTTGCCTAGGGCAGCAAATTGGTCAGAACCGGCCCTGGTGTCATCCCCACAGCACCCCCCATTTGAAACATGTTCCCACGGCTATGTTAGATGCACTCTTTATCACTGTTACGCCCAGATTTAGGAGAAACTAGGCGCAGCATAAAATTGCCCTCTCCCAACTCTTCCCACTCCCAAGAACATGGACACCGAGACAGAGAATGCCGTTTGGTAATTTTAATTACCAAAGTTTTTAACAAATAAACGCAACAACCCACAAAACAAACAAATCTCTGAACACATAAATATTGCCTAACAAATAAGGAAAATAAACGTACAGGCTTCTTACCTACTCTGACGTATAAACAGGAGAAAACGAGAATTAACCAAAAGAAAAGGGTTTCACACTTTTGCATAAATTAAAGCGTGTCCAACAAGGACAGGTTAAAGTAGTTTCTTTTCTGAGGTTTTCAAGACAAGCAAGAGGACCAGTATACGGTATAAGTAGGACCACAGTACAACAGGACAGATACAGGAGGAGGGAAAAATATCTACACACAAATGACATAACGACCCAGGGTCGTAACAATCACCATCATCATCATGTTATAGTGATACAGTTAGTTTGTGTTAGTTTATTGGTTCAACTTTCTTCATTGTTTTTTGTGTATTCAGTCAAGCGGGTCAAAGTGACAAAGCACTTCACAATTTATTAATCGGCCTAGTGCAGTGGTAAGGTAATCTGTAGAAAAGCAACGTATTTAGGTCAGCCTTAGTAAGGCTACATTAAATGTTATAATATTCATCGCGTCCTTACTACTGTATATGCATATATTCCTGTCTATTGCTTTCATTTGTAATTAATGTTATTGTTTCCACACATTTCACAATTTGGGATGAATTAAGTATCTATCTATATATCCATCTATCTATCCATGATCTATCCGTCCGTCCGTCCGTCCGTCTGTCCGTCTACCTACCTACACCTACCTACCTACAGATAGATAGATAGATAGATAGATAGATAGATAGATAGATAGATAGATAGATAGATAGATAGATAGATAGATAGATAGATAGATAGATAGATAGATAGATAGATAGATAGATAGATAGATAGATAGATAGATAGAGATAGATAGATAGATAGCTCTAACATGTAGGGTTTCCCATTAATGCTATGGGTTACAGTGAAATGTTCTACTGCAACACTTCCCACACGCACATACAGCTACACCCGCGACTGTTACAATGAAGGCTCGATAATCAGCTCACGGCATATCGGAGAAGATTTTTTTTTAAATTATTATTGAAGTTAAAAGCATCAATCTGGTGCACTTTTGAGAGCAAAATGAAGAGATCTATGGATACATCTCAACACCCATATGAAACAGAACTGTAAACAGATTTACTTTTTCTTTATGGATATTTTACTAATCACTCCCCTTTTAAACTGTATTCTTGTTTTACTGTCATATTGTATTTCATACCTGTTTTTCATTTATTCTCTTATTGTTTTATAACTATAATGATCATATGAAGTGTGCCTCGGAAATACTTGTTAACATAAATGGTGATCAAACTGTTTTGAGACCCACTGAGATAACTCTGGCGCCGTTTACACAGGAGAAAACTGCTTGTATCTGCATAGTTTCGCGTGCGTATAGCCCTATTATTTACACGAGGCCGATAGAAACTGACCCCACAAACGATAACGGGTCCCAAGGTGGATAGATTTGCAAACTAAACGCTCTGGGGGGTCAACCGAGTCCGTGTAATCACCTCTATACGAATATTTCCTGAAAAAATAACGATAGCCCCACCTCTCCTGCTCACTGCTGTAGCAACTATCAAAAATAGCTGTGTTAATTAAACGCACAAGGGGTTCTTGAATGAAATAATATTATAAAAGGCAAACCAGAATTGTTAACGCCCAATATACTCCTTAAACAAAATAAACAGAGTCAGATTTCATGCATTGATCCATTATATTGACAAAGGAGGATCTCACCCGGTGTTTGTAGAGAATATCTCTCTTTCTGAGCGGGTCCTCTCCACGGAGACATGCTTCTTGGTCGGTCGATGCAATATCCACAGATTCGGTTTCTTTCAGTTAACTTCCCCGTTGCATTTATCCATATGCTGAGGAAATTGCTATATCCCGCTGAATACCAGCAATCGCCACACACACTTCCTCCTGTCAGTAGCTACTGCTAGTGCTACTGCTACTGACCATGCTACAGATATTAGTGCAAAAATATACAGCTCCTCTACCACAACCATCAGCAACAAGTGGACATGGAGAATTACATGAACTACATGTTGCTAAATACACCGCGGGGCATGAACAGAAGGGTAGCCATGGCAACATTGCGGCGGGGCTGCTGGGCTGCCCTTCTTCGCTGCTTTTTGTGTATTTTGGCGGAAGTTACAGCGCCACTAACGGACCGTCTACACAGCAGCGTTAAAAAAATCTTGAAACGCTTCTGCCCATTCACTTTGAATGGGGTGACGTCACTTTCCCTCACTTTTCGCCGAACTGCATTGTGGGCAGGCGAGCAGAGATTTTCAGGATTTTCAGGATTCAAAGTTGAACAATGTTCAACTTTTGAGGCTGAGGTGGAAGCGTCAGCCAATCAAATCCCGTGTACGCAAATCTGACAGTTCAAGCTCTAGCCAATCAAACGGCGTGTATGCTGGGAGAGACATACCGCAGGTCATTTCCTCATATTCCAAAAAATGGAGGAGAAATTAGCGGTAGGGAATCAATCACCCGGTGCTTTATGACCAGACCTACCGGGATATAAACCGGAGGAGCCAGGCATGGAGGGAGGTGGCAGAGACAGTGGTAGGTTTTCGCCTGTTTTGGGGAGTTTATATCCAGTTTACTTCGGGCTTTTTTGCTTCGTATGTCGCGGGCGGGAGATTCATGTGATTGGTTGTTCGTGCCTTGCTCGCAAAAAATCCTCAAGCTTCAGATACGCCCACCTCCAAGATTTTTTTAACGCTGCTGTGTAGACGGTCC